GTGGCGGATGATTTTGCAATTTTTTTTTAGGGTTTTCTTCATTTTGTTTTGTTTTGTTTTTTTGTAAAATGTTATACAAAAGGGGTTTGGGTCTTTTGGGTTATGGACTGGGTCGACCCAGTTCGAAATGGACTGGGTCGTAGGGAAGATTGGGCCAATTTTTGGGCCTGTGGCTTGAAATTGAAGAAGAGGCCTAATTCCAACTTTCTTTATATTTTTTGCTTTCTTTTCTTCTTTTATTTCTCTAAAACTAAATTATAAAAATACTTAAACTATTATTAAGAACTAAATTAAGTTATAAAAGCGCAAATTAACTCCCAATANTTAATTAAGCATAAAATCGTGGACATTAAAATGCTAAAAATGCAAACGATGCCTATTTTGTAATTTTTAATTTTTGTAAAACAAATTTAATTTACTAACAATTGTAGAATTAAATCCTACATGCAAAATGCGACATATTTTTGTATTTTTTTTTTATTAATTTAGCAAATAAACATGCACAGACAAATACAAATAATTATTCAAAATATCACAAAATATCACAAAATTGCACACCAAAGAAGAATCATTTTATTTTTGAATTTTTTGGGAGTAATTCTCATATAGGGCAAAAATCACGTGCTTACAATGACAATGTACTCTTTCCTGCATCAGTTGTGCTTATAAAAAAATGAGACCTCTCTCATGAATTAGTGATAAATTTTATTTTTCTAGAAAAGAAAGTTACAACAGGCGTGACACTCATTTGGATAAGAATTATTCATCAATTCTCAAATGCTAGCAGCCTGAGTATGGATTTATTTGATGCACACTATTTTTGAAAAAATTAGGAATTAGAACTTCCTACTGCTACAATCCCACTAAATTACAGTATTTGTGTTTTATGAAAGATTTGCACACAGTAATAAACCAGACACATAATCTGATCCACAACCACTACATTACATGAGATTAAAAAAGATCATAACAACGTGTACACAAACACCACTAACAAATTTTTAGTAATAAAACATCTCAATATACACAATTTTTCCTTGTTCTTGAGTTTTGATATTCATATAATATTTATCAAAATAAAACACAGTATAATACAAAATGTTGGGCCCGGGCTTGCACGGGCCTATCCCATCTAGTATATATATATAATTTTGACAAAATTTCTGATTTTGCCACCGCCCGTGATGGATTACTTTCAGAAGCGGAATCAGGATTTGAAGTTTATGGGTTCCGAATTTGCTACCGAACTCATAACTCATTTAGTTACTGGGTTCACAGTTAAATATTTATATATATTTAGTTATTTTCTAATACAAAATAGGGTTGAAGTAAAAACTAATGGGTTCATCCGAACCCGTTAATCATACACTACCTCCACCCATGATTACTTTATTTTTGAATGGGCGGTAACATTGGGTAAGTAAGTGTTGGCATGAAAAAGATGAAGGGTAATCTCAAGAAAGAAGCCTCCTTTTCTATGCACCTTAGCTTCCCTGCCTTCAGCAGCCTTCTTAAAGCTATTGTAGCTTTTATTTATGGAGTACATAATTAAAGCAATTTTACCTTTAGAACTATATGAGGAAGACAAAGTCAATAATGCACGTATCCTGGCAAGAAATAGGCCACGTACACATAAAAGCCAACAGGTACTATTGTTTTTTCCGAACCAGCTCTTTGACAACTGATTTTAGAAACAAGTTTATGTTGCCTTTCCGCTTGCGTTTAAAGATTGGTACATATCTGTAAATGTACTGTATTATTTCTGAAACATGTTTTTCCTTAATTCGTAAATATTTTCTCTTTAACGTTCTTGTTCATGTAATTAGTATGAGTATTTCCTTTAGCAGATACTAATTTAGCACTGGAAAAGGTAAAGTGATAGTTTTGCACTGAAAAAGGTAAAGTGAGTTCCAAATACCAACCGTCTCAAATTTGCAATTAATCCATGTGAAAGGAGAGGAAAAAATGGCAAACTTATAAAAGACTCTCTTAAAGCTGGATATCCTTTAATAATTGAACAAATAGAATATTGAATCAACTCCTAATATCCATGTTCCGTGCCCAAACGTGTCAACTTTAACATAAACATGATAGAATACTTCACTGCATCCTCTTCCTCTATATGAAGGCTCCTATATATAGACCTCTCATATATTGCTTCCACATAAACTCACATCTCTACCAACTCTCTCTCCTTACTTCTTAAGTGAAGAAACAAAAATCCACAAACCAAAAAGAAGTCTGCACCTGATATATACTACTTATATACAGAGAGAATGGATCAAAATGTACCAGTAATGGCAAAAAAGTTCTGGAAAATAGTTCGAGTAGCTTTTTTCATGCTGAGGAAAGGGTTATCAAAGAGGAAACTAATGTTTGATCTCAGCTTATTAATGAAGCGTGGCAAAATTGCTAGCAAAGCCGCCATTCAAAACCTCATGTTCCACCATAATAATAATAATACCTACGGCCACCAATGTCCTTCCTCCACCTCATCTTCCAAAGAGTACTACGAATTCAGCTGCAGTAACAGCCCAGCTTTCCACCTTCCCTATAACCTCAACAAGCGCAGTAAGCACAGTCATCACCATGCACCTGCAACTGACGACGACGTTTTAATGGTGAACGCGGCCGTGTTGAAGGCGTTGGAGATGATTCAGAGTGAAACGGCGTCGCCTGCTTTGCCTGGATTTGGGAGAACTCCTACGGCGAGGCAATTAAGGGTAACTGATTCGCCGTTTCCTCTTAGAGATGGAGAGGGTAACAGTCACGTGGATGAGAAAGCTGATGAATTCATTTCAAGATTCTACAGAGATTTGAGACGAGAAGCTTTTGCTTTTGCTTAATTTTTTTTTTTTTAAAGATTTTGAGAGTTTCATGCATGTAATTGTGTCCTTTGCAATAAAGAAGAAGGATATTGGATTTTAAACAGTTTCTCAGCGTTAATTGGTGGAGTAGAGGAAAATTTGCCGCTTCCATTATCAGAAGAAAAAGAAAATAATGCTATAGTATATAAATGTGATGATACCGTCCCTTTAATTTTGATTCTTCCTATGACATTTTCAAGGCTAAAGTCCTGAAATTTTGCATCCAAAAAATTCTCTCTTGAGTAGATTGTCGAGTATTCGTTACCTTTTCTTCTCGAAAATAAGAAAAGTAAAAAGTGAAATTAGAAATCATTATTTACTCCTACAAGTTAAAGTAAATCATATTGAACAAGGTTAGTGTTTAACCAAAAAATTGGATTTCGGTCAAAGCTTTAATTTAGATGAACTCGGGTTACTGATAATCAAAAGAATATATGAAAGAAAGTAATTTGGCTAGTAATAAGATAATCAGAAGAAAAACAAGTAAATCGGTATATTCAGATAGTATTTCGTGTCCCTACAATTGATCCGTTCTCTCCCTTTTACAGCTATTTTGGAGATATGCGTTTTGCTTTTGTCATAATAAGGCCATTATGGACAATTAAAGACATTAAATGCTATGTTACATAATCATTGTATTTAATACAGATTCTCTAACGTTTTTAGTATTTAAGGCTCATTAAATGTTGTATCTGTATTCCCATGTAGTGTCAGATTCATTCCCCTTGATTCTTGGACTTAAATAAGTACGAGCGCTGAGTCTTTTGGATAACCGCTCGTGCTTCTTCCTTTACCTCTGCTCATATCTGTTGCAACTCGTGCCTCTTTGCTAGTTGTAACTCTTTGACCAGTCTATGTGTCACGACACGTCATCTTTACACCACTTTAATATGTAAACTCAATTCTTTCGAATACAGATGGTCCCCCCACTTGCCATTTATTCATCGATTGAATATTTGGGAAGTGAATTTCACTAAAATGAGGATTTTTGTCACCATTAATGCTATGACAGAATCAATGCTTCAATTGTCACTTTTCTTTAATGCTCTTCACACATGTCACCTTTTCATTAGTTCTACAGTTTTGCAGCACTTTTTAAGGCTTTTTCACAGCTTCACTATTCACGAAGCGTCAGTTATCATTATTATGGTCCTTCCATCATCACCCCTTTTTCTTTGGCGGTTGCTTATCAGTATAAATATAACTTCCTTCTTTGTCTTTACCACATAAAGTTTTCTGAACATCCAATTTTCTCAAATCTCTGTTTGCTTCTTCATCGTATCATCATGTCTTCACCAAACCCTAACCCTAGAAGGGTTTCCATTGTTGATACCTTCCCTAATGCCCCTAGTAGTAGCAGAAGAGGAGGTAGGCTCCGTAGTTTAGGGTATGCACGTGGTTCTTCTATTCCTTCACCTAGTTCTGGCCCTTCTTCTAGAACTACAGGTTTTCTTTCATAAAGATCTTCTTCTAGGGATAAAGAACCTTCTGAACCTCTTCGTGAGCCTTCAGTAGAAGAGATAGTTCCTGCGGAACTATCTTTTTATCATGACAGAGAGTCTCTTAGAAACCAAGTATCTTCTTTAGATCGTGCTGATATCTATCCCACTCAAATTACTGAAGGTTTGATTTCTATAGTTCGTAGAGACTACCATTGGAGTCATGATTTTCCTATTATCATTCCCAATCCGAATCAAAGAATACTTCTTATTTAACCGGATTTTCCTTTGTTTATACATACCCTTTTACTTTAGGATTTAAACCAGCTATTGACCCTGTTATCCTTGAGTTCTGTCATTTCTTTGATGTTTGCTTGGGTCAAATTGGCCCAATAATATGGAGGGCTATTGCATGTTTGAGGCATTTGACCAACACAGCCAATGTGCCTTTTACTTTCCCTCATCCGATCCACCTTTACTCCCTAGACTCATTCGTAATGGTATTTTTACACTAGTAGCCAGAAGCAAAAGAGTTTTAGTGAGCCCTGAAGATGACAAAGACCGTGGCTGGTATGCCAGGTTTGTTGCTGCCCCCACCGTTGGTTTAGTGGGTGATGAGAACGTTCCCTTCCCTGAGAAGTGAAATTTTGCACGTGAGTCTTCTGACTTTCTCGTACCTTTTTCTTCAAGTTTGTTGATTTTTCTCCTAATTTTCCTTTTCTTTTTTAGCAATCATGGGAGTTGTGGAAGATGTTCCCAATTTCTGTGATTGGGTAGACAAGCTATTGAAGATTGCTCCAATGGATGGTAGATCTTGGAAGACCCTTTCCCGGCGATTTGGTTGGAAAGTAAAAACTCATGGTAAGAGCTTTTATTTTATTTTATCTTACATATATTTTTTATTTCTATGAACTAATTTCAATCCTTCTTTCTATCAGGATTTGCTATTCGAGGAGTTACTGTCGAGGCGGTCGCGACTTCTCGTATCTCTTTGGAAAGGGCCCAAGAAATAATCTTGAGTTCTTCATCAAAGAGAAAAGCCGTTGATGGACAAGATTCTGAAGAAGAGGAAGATGGGGGCTCTTTGGTAACAAGGCCAAGGGCTCGAAGACGCATCATTTCTGATGAAGAAGAAGAAGCATCCCCCTGCCGTTCTATTCCCCTTACCGAGTTTGTTGAGGCCCCAGTAGTGATTCCTGACGATGATGTTGCTCCCGTTGCTGCTCATGACTCTGTTGAGCAGCTTTTTATCAGCGGGTTTAGTGGTGAAGGCTTAGGCCCAGTTTTGGATGAAACACCTCTGGCTTCTTTTTCTACACACGTGTCTGTGACTCCTTCTTTGCCGATCTCTGTTATTTTTCCTCCGCATACTGTCTTTACTACTTCTATTGTTCATATTCAACAATTCCTCCCCCAATCATTCACCGTGCTGAAGTTGGATCCTCAAGTAGGAGTGGTGCTATGAGGCAAGTGATCATTGAAGTTCCCGCTAAGGTCAATCACTTAAGGAAATCAGGTCAAGCAGATATATGGCTAAAGCCCTTAATTGGACCAATTGAAAGAGCCAAGCTAGAGAGCCATAGCTCTTTGACTTTGATGAATGATATTGTGACGCTTCTTTAAAGGTATTCCCCTTCTCCTTTTTCCTTTGTTGTGCTTTAAAATTTTTTCTATCTTTGAGATTCTCATTTCTCTTCCTTTTTTTAAATATTTTTATAGGCCAATCTTATCGGCACAGAGATGATGAAAAAGGTTGCCCTCTCAGAGCAATTAGTGTGTGATTCTCAATTAGAGGTTGTCACACCTCTTTTTTCCGCCCCCGCGAGGGGTGAAGGAGTTTTTCCAATTAAAGGACAATCGAAACGGGATTGGTTTGTTTATTTCAGAGTCGCCACTTGGGAGATTTAGGGTGTCCCAAGTCACCAATTTAATCCCGAATCGAGGAAAAGAATGACTCTGTTTAACAGTCCGCGAACCAGAAATCTGGATAAGGAATTCTGTTAACCCGGGAGAAGGTATTAGGCATTCCCGAGTTCCGTGGTTCTAGCACGATTGCTCAACTGTCATATTCGGCTTGTTTATATGATTTTATACAATTATGAGCTCATGTGCAAGTTTTAACTTTTAACCGTTTTTGTCATTATTA